TCTACTATATTAGTTTATGCCCAAGTTCTACTATATAATAAATATAATATATAATATTCAAGAAAGTCCCAATCTTGAATATTATATATTATACTTGGGTATAAAATAGAATTTTAAAAGTCCCACAAGTTCTACTATATTATAAATGAAAGTTTAAGCCCAAGTATAATATATAATATTCTAGATTGTGAATTTTCCCAATCTTGAATATTATTTATTATACTTGTGGGACTTTTAAAATTCTATTTTATACCCAAGTATAATATATAATATTCAAGATTGGGACTTTCTTGAATATTATATATTATATTTATTATATAGTAGAACTTGGGCATAAACTAATATAGTAGAATTCAAGATTGAGACTTTCTTGAATATTATATATTATACTTGGGCCTAAAACTCTCCTTTTTATAATAGGAAAAAATTACTTAAATCACAACACTTCTTTACCTATTTTCAATATTTCCCTACTCTTTTACTAAAATACAAAAATCCCTTATTTCCCCCCCAATTCAACTTAACCGGATACTTTATTAGATTAAGTATCCGCCCGTTATTAATTAAAGTATCCGTGCTGCTATATTATGCATTGCTATATTATGTATCCGAAAAACCTAAAACAACCGATAGATATATTTCACTAACTCGTAATGAAATTACAAAGGAATCCAAGTACTAAAAATGGAAATTTACCTAATTTTTACTTTATAATATAGTAGAATCTAGTCTTATAGTCTGTTTGGCTAACCGACTAACATAGAAGCATTTTTATTAAAATACACCCTATGTCAAATTGTTTAACTTTGATTCTAAATTTGGGCATAGAATCTTTAAGAAAAAAATTATATATTTAAAATTGCATAAAAAGTCTTATAAGTCACAATATTTAATAATTTAAATAATATAAAACATAGTATATGACACGTGGTCAAGAAAGACCTGTTTGAAAAGTGACACACAAATTAGGATGGAAGGAACAACATTTTAAAACAGTAATTTTGGAATAAAATAGTTTGTGTTTTGGCTAATTATTTCAAAAACTACTTTTGATAAGTGTTTGATTAATCTTTTTTTTTAAAAATGTTTTTGAGTTCAAATTACGAAAAATAATAAATAACAGTGCTCGCTGATCACTAAAATTATTTTATGCATAAAAGTCAATTTAAATATCTACTATGAAAGATTTTAATTAAGTTTTTTATTTTTATTTAATTAAAATTTTAATGTACATATTAAAAAATTCAATTAATATAATACATGGAAAAAAAATATTGATATGATATTATTATGATGATTTAAATTTAAATATATAAAAAAAATATCAAGCAAAATAAATTTAAAAACTATACCACAAATTAATAATTATATATGGATTATAAGGTTGCTTGAAGAGTAAAAGAAAATGGATAATAGATATGGAAGTGAGACTTGATACTCGGGTTATTCATAATAGAGGAAGTTTGAAGTATCTTCTGTCTATCATTTAAAAAAACGGAGATAAATGAGAATGTCATTCATCGAATTGGTGCAGGGTGGATAATAGAGGCTCACATCCGGAGTCTTGCACAAATGATGATGTTGTGAATGTGTGGGCATAATACGAGAGATAAGATTAGAAATGAGAATATTTGAAATAAGGTAAGATTGACTTCAATGGAGAACAAGATGAGGAAAACAAGACTGATATTGTTTAGATATGTGAAGAGAAGATGTTTGGATGCTCCATAGTGTAAAAAAATTTAGCGATGGATGGTCTTAAGCAAGCTAAAAATAGACCATAAATCCAAAGAGATATTGAAAAAAATGATTAAACAAACTCTATTATAATTAAAGTCAAGTTATATAAAAAGATATAAGTGAAAGAGGATAAATTGGATCTCTAGTTGCATACAATTGTTTCAAAAGCCAATATGATATCTAAACCCATATCACTTTCATAATTGAAATAGTCTTTTTTTTAACAATAGAAAATTGAATTTAAGTTAAAAAGAATGAAATTAGTGGGAAAAAAAGGAAAAATTACGTAATTACACGATTTAAGATAACATAACCTCTAAAAAAATTATTATTTGAATTAATTATAATTCTTTTTTCATTCTCTCATAACATTTGGATACATCACTCCACCTCTATCAGATATAGTACAACTTTGTTTGTGTACAATGAATCTGATACAAATGTTATTGTTAATACATAAACCTTTTTTTTTCAAAAATATTATTGTTGTTATATAATCACGAAAGTAACTCTCTCACATTTTTTTATTATAATTTTTTTTTGTTTTTATTGTTGCTCTCACTCCATAAAATATTACTTTCATCACCAACTTCGTTCGTATCGAATTTTTTTCTTTTCAGTCTATACTTTTATTCAGAAACTCTACAAAACAACTCTTTTACTTTCATAGTTTATCTCGAAATCTTTTCTAGATCTCCTTTTCTTCTCAATCTCATCTCTATTCAACACAATTTATATATCAAACAACCTTTTTATTTACTCAGATTGTATCAAAAAAACGTTCTTCTCTTTTCTTACTCTTTTTTTATATTCTTCTTAGATGTTGATGTTCAATCTATCAAAACCATTTTAAAGTGATGAATATCAACGATGATATCTTTTATGATCTTGATCCACTTTTTGAAGGTGATGAATGGAATCATCGCAAAGTTTCAAAGGATCAAATCCTTTGTATGAATAATCAGAAAAATGTACTGAAAATGATGATAAAACAATGACCATACAGGAGAAGGATGGACAACTGAACTCCGTGTTAGGAAGAGTGAAAGCTCTTCTGGCCAAAAGGATACCGTAAATTAATAATTAACAATCTCTAAATTTCATTTGTTAGCC